TTTGTTCTAACATAAACAAAGATCTTATTTTATCATTTTTGAATCCATAGGTGTCGAGACAATGTAATTCTATTTTTTTTTATTAAAAAGGTACGAAAAAGTAACGAAAATGTTACCAAATTGGGCTTCTTTGCTTTGCCTTTGTCTTTTAGAATTGGAAGTTTGAATTCTCTTTAATTTTTTTTTTTAAATATGAAAGATTATGAGTTGTCCTTTTGTTTTATGTTTGTTTGACACTTGTGTTTTTGACCCTTTTCACTTTTTCCTATTAAATTCTCTTGTTTACTTCCCATTTTTTGATCATCATTTTTCCACATATTTGCCTACTTTGTACCAATAGTACTATTTCGTTACTTTTATTTATTATATATATATACTTTTTTTTACTACGATACCAGGGGAATAAAGAGATTTAAACTCGGAATTTTTTTTTTATTTTAATAATATTTTTTGTCTCTATACTTTTGATTTTAGTTTATTTTGATCTATATATTTTCAAAACTTACATTTTGATATCTATATTTTCAACTTTTATTTATTTTAATCTATGTACTTCCGAAACGTTCAATTTGATCTTCGTACTTTTAAAAAATTGATCATTTTGGATTCACTCATTTTCATTTTTATCTCATTTATTCTAGGTTTTCGTTGTGCAAAAAATTTGTGTTAAAATTTTATAAATTGGAACAAAAATGGTAACTTTTTAAAAGTACATTGACCAAAATAGACGTTTTGAAAGTACAAAGACTTAAATGAACAAAAATTGAAAATACCACGAACCAAAATAGACATTTTGAAAATAGAGAGACTAAAATAGTATTTAAACCTAAAAACTTCTATACAACTACTTTGAAATATTCATCCTCATTATCAATATTGATGAAGTCATTTTTCATTTTATGCTTTGGTTAGATTAGATGCCTTTAGGATCAATGAACAAATTTCAATGGATTGTTATTAGAAAGTTGACTTTATCATGGTGATGGAAAAGGATTTGAATTTGATCATAAAAAGAATACATACAACTGATTTTGATATAAAGTCAAAAAGAAAGAAAGAAAAAAGCTAAGGTTTCTATGGTATTTTTCTAAAAAAATTTCTAATTAAGTTAAGAAAATTTGAGATTATGGATTCCCATTAGTTTATCCTATAATTTCTCTTTAATTATAACATTAAAAAGATATCATTATATAGTATAAAGATTCTCAACTAAGAAGCCTATCAACAAACAAAATTTGGACAACCAATATGGTTTTTAATTAATTACCTTTTTTTTTCTTTTTTGTGGACCAAACTAATTTATCTCTAAGCAATCATTGTGCTCTTAATTATTTTTGTATGACAAGTTACCAACACCATAATTTTTAGATAATAACAACAAAATAAAACAAAAAAGTGAAAACTTTGGGTTTGATGAGAAATGGGTGGGGAAAAGAAAATTGGAGATTTTTGTAGGTATGATATACATATTTTTTTAAAAAAAATATTTATGAAAAAAATTTACAATTTAAAAATAATTATAAAATTGATTTGAATACTTCTTTTTTTAGTTCAACCAGGGTGGAGATTCGAATCTTTTACTTTTCGGATAATATGTGCATTTAACCAGTTGAGCTATGTCTAGACTCACAATAATTTTTATTTTTCAGTATTATATAGATGGTAGAAAGACACCAGAAATCTTTTTTGTTTTTCTTTTGACTCACTCTAAAAAGAGCCTTAGAATTATAAATTTTTAACGTTTATGATATAACTTTTTGTTGGTTTTTTTTTTTAATTTAGGTTTGGTCTACAAAATGTATATATATTTAATTATCTTTGTAATTTGCTTGGAAATAGAAGCAATGCACATGGAAAATCACCTTCATTCTTAGGAGAAACTCCCCTTATAGAAAGCATTTCATGAATCCAAAATCAAGTGCTTGTATGTGTAATTAATTAATGCATTTGTGAAGAAAGAAAAAAGAGAAAAAAAGAAACTTTTTGGTGTATTGAGCATTTTGGTGGTTGAAGCATGTATGAAAAGTTTCCTTGTCCATTTCCTTCATTTTCTTGGCATCCAAACAAGAATGTCAAATAGTATTAGGGTTAAATTACTTGCATTGTGACAATATATATACAAACACTTGACCCTACATGTAGAGTACTTTGATGCTTTATTTGTCAAACGATCATGTGGCATTGCCTTTCTTATTTTATAACAGTGATACATACCAACAAAAAATAATATCGTCGTTTACATATGGATTTGATGGTTCTGGTAGACCGATATGCTGTATCTCGACGTTCTCAATTTCGCATGTTACGAACTGGAAGATTCTTTTAGTTAACCAAACGTAAAAACTTCTATTATTCAAAGCTTTCGAGGAAAAATTTCGTAAGTAAACATATGAAATAGAAAAGCCACGAAATAATCATATATCTCTTTCAAGGAAGGAAGGGAAATTTTTATTTAACTAAATTAAGATTTGAAATATATAAGGGACAGACCAAAATGACATGTCAAATAATGTCAAATACTTTTTTCCTTTGTCCTATCTACATGTGGCAAAGTTCCTAAACATGAGGAGCCATCAAATGACATACATCTCAAGGCAAAGCTTGAAAGGGCCATCACCTCCAACTCTCAATTCTCCCTCAACCCTAGAAAGAAAAAAGAAAAAGAAAAAGAAAGAAAAGAAACGTAGGAAATCCTCTAGGAGCGATTTGTTTTTCGAGAATATAAATTTTAATATCTTTAGATGTCTGAAATATCATTAAATATATGAAACGATAGATGTCTAACTTGTTTAGGTAGACATGTTTGTGTTTGATCACAGTAATACAACAAACACAGAAATTTAGATGTTAATCTCATGAGCATTTTAGATTCCCATAAAACTGATCCGTACATATAATATCAATTATATATTTTGGTCAGTTTTTTAGAAAAAAAGAAAAGGAAAATAATTGTTAAAGTTGGCCAATAGCAATTTGCCAACAATTTAATTTATTTTTAATTGTGACCAACCAACCCTTTTTATTACTTATAACTTTAGCACATGAAAAATTGAGAGGTGTCTTAGTTATTTGAATGATGCTTTAGAATAAGACAACAAGAGAGACCAAAATAACCAAAGAAACTATTTAAGAATGATGCTTAAACCCTAATTAAATTACATCCAAAAACAAAAAAGGAATTAATAAATTTTTATTGGGATTAATTTAAGCTAATACAGCTATTAACCAAACTAAACCACCTAATTTGGGTAATTAAATCATAATCTCATTTAACTATGTATATTATCTTAAATATTCTCATTCATGTGCACAACTAATTAAGTTTTATGTTTGATTGTTTCCCCTAGAGTAGGTACAAACTAGATAAGGATAGAATTAATAAGTTTTAGGTCCACATTCTAGTTTAATTTGTTGTTTCTCATTTCTTCATTTTTAATAAAGAAAAATAGAACCCCGTTTCGATAACTGTTTCATGTTTCTTGTTCTCTACTATTTTAAATCAACACTAAAAATGTTACATGAGAACTAACTTTTAAAATTAAATTGTTCAAAATGTTTGCGTTTTATTTATTTTTAAATATTTATTATAAATTTTATATAAAAAAAATTTTGATTCCGTTGTTTCTAAAATTTTTATACAATTTTAAAAATATTTCTCAATAAATAAGAAACCGAAACAATTATCAAATGCTTATATTTAAAAAGATCCACGATTAATGTTTCGGAATCAATTCATCAAATGATATTTCTTTTTTCATGTAAAATATGTGGGCCGATAGATTTTCTATGCCACTATCTTCTTTTTGAAGATTTTCATATTGCTCGTACTTATTTGTGGACACCTATAAGAAATTATAAATAAACGGGTTCCACACCAATAAATAAATTAATAACTATAATATGCAGAATTTTGGAGAAAAAAATAAATATAAATTAAAAGTATATGACTATAAATTTTTTTATATTTTATTTTCCTCAAAAGAAACAAGGTTGGAGTTGAGAAATTAAATCTATGTTGGGTTGCATTCCAATTGATTAGTTAATTATGTGGTCACTAAATGGAAAAAAAAGTTACTTAAGATAAAAAGAGAGAAAAATATTTTTTTACTTGCACAAAAAAAAATCCATTTAAAATTAATTTTGTTAATAACATAAAATAAAGTTGGTCCACATATTTATTTAAATAGTGGTACAACTATAATTAATGGAAAATATGTGAACCAATAAAATACAACACATAAATCAAATTATTTTATTTTTTTGTTTTTAAAATTTAAGTATATTAAAAGAATATATAGATTTGTTTTTAGTTTTCGAAATATAATTGCTAAACATAAAAATACATCATATTTAATATATTTTTTTAATACAACAACAGTGTGAGTTCGAACTCACAAACCTTTTAGTCGTGAATATATATTTTCACCGAAGTTAACTACATGATGTTTATAGTAAACCATTTACTTTATAAATGTAAAAAACTAAACTTCAATAAAAGGGTACATGTACTTAAAATCAACGTAGTGATAGGCAGAGAATACCTAAAGTAAGTTCTTCTATTATGGTTCATGGTTTCTATGGTTCATTCGGGAGAAATTGAACTTCAAAAAGCTACCCTCCGAAATCTTTCATCCTATCTCAAATTATACACAACTATCAACGGTAGGCATCTACCACTAATTGTTAAAGATCGACCTCTATCAAAAAAAATTTGAAAAAATTACCTAAAAAATTTACATAGGGTAGCTACCCATCTAGCGCAATTCAACCCAAAATAATAGCAAATATAGGATAAGATTTGTAGTTACCAAAAAAATTCAAATTTTCACCTCATATTTATACACATATAGTAATTTAGCCCAAAAACAACGACAAAAATCTAGAATAAGATTTGTAGATATGACACAATTCTTTAAAAGGTGCATCACGTAGTGATATGACAAAACTGTTTGTCACCCATAGTAATTTAAACAGCGAGTGGAGTGAAGATTCGAATCTCGAACAAAAAAGAACTCATATTTTTATAATCGTAGAACCCAATTTTTTTTGTTCTCACTACCTATATTTTAAGCCTCCCTACCCTTCCCCCCATTCCATCCTATACCCTTCACCAACACACCTCCACTTCTCCAATGGAAGATCCTCTCCACATATTTCAATTTCAGTCTCAGTCTTCTTCTTCTTCTTCTGAGATCAAAAATTGCAGCAAAGAAATCATCAAGGGCTCCAAAAAGGTGAAACTCGGGAGCGACGGCAAGCATCCCACATATCGCGGCGTCCGAATGCGACAATGGGGAAAATGGGTGTCCGAAATCAGAGAACCAAAGAAGAAATCGCGGATTTGGCTGGGCACATTCTCCACGCCGGAAATGGCGGCCAGAGCCCACGACGTCGCCGCCCGGACAATCAAAGGCCGCGCCGCCTTCCTCAACTTCCCGGAGCTCGCCCACCGCCTCCCCCGTCCGGCCAGCTCATCCCCCAAGGACATTCGCGCCGCCGCCCTCCAAGCGGCGTCGTTTGATCTCCCGCCGGAATCCGACCTCAATCGCTCCCCCTCCTCCTCCGCCGCCGCCGCCGCCCAGTCGCCGGAGCAGGACGACGATCCGTTCTTCGATCTCCCCGATCTGCTCCTCGATCCCAATCACCAAATCGAAACGCTCTGTTTCTCGCAGCTGCCGATCGACGCTTTCGATTCCGCTTTCGGGCGGCCGGAGGAGCAATTCTCGCCGGAATATTACGCCTACAGAACCAGCCTACTCTAATTCTCTGCCGCCGCCTGCAAATGCAGAAGCCTGCAGATTTTGATTTTAACCCTAATACCAAATCAGGAAAAAATTCTCTCTTCTTCCTTTCCCTTTTTTTTTTCTTTTTATAATTTCATCCTCCGGTTTATTATTATTATTTTTCCATGATCGTAATTTAAAATTATTATAATATCTAAAATTACAATCATTGGAAAATTTAAATAATAAATCAGAGGATGAAATTAATAAAATTGCCATTTTTCTATTGTACAGGTTTGTTTGTTGTTGTTCTTCTCTCCAGTGGCATTATGTGTAATTAAGTTTGTTATAGTTTCCACATTGTAAATTTAGATATTGGTGTTTTCTTTTTCAGTTCATATTTCGGATTGAGTTCATCCTTGTAGTAATCGGATGAATTGGATCACGAGAGCACCGATCCTTTCTTTTAAGTAGACCACTTTTTTTGGAACGCAGTTCATCGAAAAAAATGTTGAAACTCACCTGTTTTTAGAGACCGTAATATTTTAGTTACAATTTTTTTTTTCATTCACGTCTATCACAATGATTTTAGGTTGTTTCTAATCAAGTTTACTTCTAAAAAGTTGAAAAAATTTGGTTTTCTTTTTCTTAATCTCAAATTTAACCTTTATAAATGCATTTTCTCCTCTACAAGCAAAGTCTTATTATTTTTTTAATGAAAGTTTTTTAATTTTCAATTAGTGCTTTAAAGTTTAAATACCCATTTGAAAATAAAAAAGTGGAGCAATATGAATCATATGGTGATCATATCAGACAAACTCACACTCCTACTTTTCTTTTTCTTTATTTTTTTTCTTTTTCTTTTTTTAATATATATATATATTTTTTTTTTCATAAAAAGTTAGTTTGTTTGCTTTAAGCCATTTCGAAGCTCATGTTTCCAAATAAGGAAGCATAAAGGGGTGGAATTTGATGTTAGAAAGCAATATAGTTAAATTATGTTATTTATATATATAACGCGCGATGTTGATGTGGGTGGAAGTGTAAAGTTCTCATCTGATTTTAGTATCTCGAACGATTTGAAAAAAGAAAAAAGTAATTATAATACTCACGATCTTGTCAGCTAAATTCTCATCTCGAGTCAAGATAACTATGATCAACTAAGTCTAGTATCGATGTTCTTGTTGTCTCGATTATTATAAATTTTTCTTTCGAGTGATTTTGGTAAGTTACGACAATTATCAAGTAATCAAATTCATGAAAATACCTACAAAATTAAATCCCTCACTAAAAAAGAAAATGTGTGAGGGAGAGAGAACCAAGTAATTCTCAATATATATCTCTTTCACTATCCACTCTATAAATGTGCTTTGTTGAAGAGCTCTTGAGCTGGCAATTTTGGACCTGTATACAAGGACAAAGTTGGCAAACTATCATGTCTCATCCATAAAAAACTAATAAAATAATGCTTCATTTAGCCTTAATTAAAACCATATAGTTACATTAATTCTAATTAATATATATAATCCCACTTTTAATTTTATTTTAATCCATACTTCAATTAGAGTATGATATTCCTTGACTAATCTTGAGTTGAATAAAAAATTCATTTTACTTGGGTTAAATTATAAATTTTCAAATATGTGTCTAGCTAGTAGGTCTCTCGAATTAACGTTGAACGTTTATACCACCAAACGCCTAAATCCAGCTACTCAAAATCAACTCGTCGTGTGTAAGTTAATATGTAGTAGTGATTACCAAGTTAAACACAAAATCTTGCAACTTTTGAAAGTATATATACCGACTAGCTAGACAGACAAAACCCTGAAAGTTTGTGGACCAAAACGTGTCCAGTCTCTAACATTTTATTAATAAATTATACAAAATGAACGACTATAGAGAGCTCGATCAATCATTTTCGAGAATTCGAAAGGTACATGAGGGAGTTGTATGTATTAATAATACAAGAGAGTTTGAACAACTAGACTTTTTAGCATTTATGAAGTGATGTTAAGTTGAATTATTAGACAGCTAAAATGGGTTTGACAAAAAAGAGAGGGCAATTTTGTAAGAGAGGTTGGGTGTTTTCAATGCATGGAATATAGGGTGTGGGCAAATTATAAAGGCAATAGAGTCCAAAAAATAATAGTAATTGTCATACATATAAATGTGGACATTTTATAAAGCACACATGAGAGACACTAGGAATCCAATGTACCAAGAAATAGTATTAATTATATAACAAAGTGGTTGGTATGAGCTTAACTAGAATAGAACATCTTTTTTTTTTATATCCTATCTCAATTTTTAATAAATTTAAAGGTTTAAATATTATATAAGAGTCAGACGTATTGATGAATAAGAAAAATATTATCTAGACGGGTAAATAGATTGACCTTAAAACAACAACACTCAATTGTATCTGTATACTCAAAATAAATAAATATATATATGCGTGTATCTAGGGACATTTCACTTGGAAGCAACTATTCCCTAGATACACACGTCATGATATCTTATTTATTTCACGATTAAATTAATTTAGAAAATACCTAAAGTTAGGAGAGGAATAGGAATGTTGAGTACCGATTCTTACAGCATTGTTTGAGAAGTCAATAAGTTAATTCCTGTGGATGTGTATTTGTCGGGTTGTCCACTTAAACCTCAGGCAGTGGAGTCTTGACCGATTTGAAAGATCGATCATTTGATGTAGTTGAAATAACATCAATGTAGGAATTTGGTTTCGAGCTTTCTCTAGCCTCTTCTCATCAATGGACTCATGACATATTTAAAGGATTGTGACTCGTTTGATAAATTCCTACCTCTATATGAATCTGTGAGATGTTTGGATTTTTTTTTAGTAATTTCCTTCTTTAAAAAAATTGAGGAATTATGTCATGAAAGAGGTTATTGGGGGAAGTAAAGGTTAGATCCTTATTAAGTGCCTTTAGTAGCTTTAATCGTTGTCCTGGCTAAATTTCGAGGACGAAATTATCAAACAATGAGGTAATATTTTGTAATGGCATTTCAGTAATTTGGTTCTTCAAAAAAAAAAATTAGATTTTTCTTTTATGACGGGCCATGTCATATTATTTCGATCTTGTACTTTCGATTTTAGTTTATTTTAGTTCATGTACTTTTAACAGTCTTCATAGTTACACATGTTCGCTTTGGTACGCCCCTGTATTTATTAAAAGTGACCATTTTAGTATTTTATTTTCATTCTCATCTCATTTATTTCGATAAAAAAATTTTAGCATCACTCACTAAATTTTTTGAAATATGTAGCCATAAATTTGTATTAAGAGTTCCATTAAATATAAAACTTATATTAAAATTTTAAAGTTATCACTTTTTAAAAATACAAGAAATAAAACAGATATTTTAAAAATATAATGAATTAAAATGAACAAAAATTGAAAGTATAAATACCAAAATAAATATTTTAAAAGTATATAAACTAAAATAATATTTAAATCAATCTTAATTTCGCCATTTCCATCTTGAAACTTTGCATAAAAAATTATTTCTAATTTTGATTTAATAATTATTTAAAAGAAACCTAAACTCGTTTTGAAATCTGACAGTGGCTTCAAATTCTTGTTCATGATTTGAGTCACATAACACGAGTCCATATTAAATTTGCTTCATTTTATATAAATATATTAATAAAATTGACTAAATTAACCTTTCTATCAATTTTGAGGACTACAACAACATAATATTTGAAAGTTTAGGAAATAATATAAGAATTGAATGATGAACTATGAAATGATTTTGGTGTCTTTTTTTTTTTTTTCCTTACATTATGCTTTGAAAATAAGAAGTAATGTCAAAACTTTTTTCCATAATTATTGAACCGAAGGTTGAGGAGAAAAGAATAAAGGTTTTCTTTTTCTTTTTTCCTTTTTTCTTTTCATCTCTTTTTTCTAGGTTGATGATTGAAGATGAGGAAGGAAAAGGATTTTTTTTTCTTTTTTAATTTCTTGGATATATAATATGTTGTGTTTAATCAAACATTTTTCTTTTTTAAATTTTAAAATTAATAATAAAAATATCATTTATGCCACACAAACAATAAAAATATAAATTATTTGAAAAAAATGTCTGGCCAAACTTTTAGTTGTTGTTGTTAATGAAAAAGTAACAAAAAAAAAAATTCAAGATTTAGATTATAAGATTAAAAAGTTTAAAAGTTTGATAGACTCGGAATAAAAACTTCATATCCTATAAAAATGTGAATGTGAAGTTAAAATGGGTTAAATATACCAAATAATCCTTAATTTTCTAAGTAATTTTATTTTGATGTTAAATTTTTTTAAATTCTCAAATTTATTTTTAATATATCAAAAATTCTCATTTAGGTCCTTTTATTAGAAACAATTGTTAAAATTTAGACACATGAACAATACTGCTGGATAAATAAATTTCAATTGGTCCATCTAACAAAATTTCGACTCATATTAACAAATCAATTTCTTCCAAATGTCACATCTAACTGACAAGCCCACATATCTAACTATATTAATAAAATTATAATTTAATGACACATTTGACTTTCTATAAACAAAATTTACCATATTTTTCTATAGAATAAATTAATTGTGAATTTTCAAAACTATTAGAAATAAAATCGAAAGAAGATAAAAATTGAGGAGAAGTTAAAACATCCATGTTTAACTCAAAAAAATTAAAAAATAATAATAATAAGAGAGAGAGAATGAGTGACTGTCATTTTTTATTTTTTATTATTTTACTTCAACAACGTGAATGAAATTTTAAATTTACAACTTTTCATTAGAGATATATACATTAATCAGATGTTCAGATCGGCGTAAATGTCGAAATTGTCGGTAAAAAAATTAATTGGATTTGCTTTTTTTCTTTTTTATTGGATTTGCTTTTTATCTTACGTGAATGATTGATATATTACATAATATATATTGTTTCTTTTTTGTATGCTTTTTATGTCTCTCTCTCTCTTACATTCCATTTTTATTCTTTGGAGAGAGAGAAAGAGAGAGGTTTGGTGAAGTAAAGGGAAACGTGGGTGTTGTTAGATATTTATGCTTTATTCCAACTCTCGTGGGCTTCAAAAGAAATTATTCTATTCTACCATATAATTATGTT